AACCAGGAGACACTAAGAAGGCAAACTTATTTCACTGGCATGAATGCTGCCTGTTCTGTGCCTGGCTTCCAATGCTGGATCACGTAGCCAATGACGAGTAAGATTTCCCAAGGGGAGAATATCCTAAGACAGGCATGATCATGTGGAGGCCTCAGGGAAGAGACTCAAGGGGCTGTAGAAATGAAGGAGTGATCAACATCGACCCCTACCCCCTCAGCTTTGTCAAAGCCTGAGTCCTTGCTCTTAGTTGTGTGAAATCCAAGTCTGCTGGCTGCCTTTGTCTCCTCTGCCACACTCAGGCCTGTGGAAATAACAGGGGCAGTGCAGTCCAGACCAGAGTTGGCAGACCCCCAGCATAATCAGGCCTGGGACATAGAATATGCAAGATCCTGTGAGATCTGCTTGCTGGAGGATACTCTTGAATTAGAATATGAAGGCATGGGCAGGAAACGAAACTAGCCTTTTAAGTCCTGTATTCTTTTTAGGTCATAAAACACAAACTCTTAGCCCAAAATCCTAGAGGGAGTTCTACCAGCATCTATGGAAGCTACCTATTTCTTTTGATCTTCCCTGCCAGACTGTAATCCACAAATTGTGTTTGTACTCTTAATAAAATCCTGCTCAGATGGGGACTCGGGACGCTCTCCACTGGAGAGAGTGGCCATTTTGTACCTATTTCCCAACAGGACTCGGTTGTCCCCTTGTATGTTTTTCTGGTGTTTCAATGAGCATCCGCAGCGATGGAAACAGCTGGCTCAGTATCTGTCTCAGCATGGCCCCATGTGATGGAGCCATTCTTCTCCAAGCCTCCATGCAGGCCCTGTAGCTCAGGGAACCAACCCCCAGTTATTTCTTGGTGTGGAATTTACTTCCATCCCCCTGGCTCAGAGCAAGGCCAGAGCTATTTAACAGATCTGTGTAACCAGTTAAAGGTAATAGATATGTTTAATGCCCATGCCAGAGGTTAGCTCCAAAGCTCTTGCTATGTAAAACAGCTCTCAATGGCCCTGTTCCATTTGACCCTTCCCCCAGTCCACACCTGTGTGTGTATGCATAGGAGGTGAGGACATCCTAATATTTCCTGGACACCTTGAGTTCTGGACCCCATGTCAAATCCCTATTTGGGTGCACTGTGTTACACTAACAGGAGTAGAGAATTGTGGATAGAGTCGGAATTGAGGTCATGGAGGAGGATCCAGACTGGGATTTAAATAAAAGGTGGTCTGCCCTGTATGATGGGGAGAAGGAGGCACTTGGCAGGACCATGGGGGGCAGGAAACGGGTGAAAAAGATTCTCGACAGCCAGCCATGAGGAGATCCCACATGGTTATGGATTAAGTACTGGAGATCTCAGGGACATAGCTGATGGTGTTGGAAACTGAGGGAGACCTGCCCAGCCAAGCATGGATTATGGGGAGAAAACAGAAGTGAGCTGCTGACTTCAGTTTTGTTTTGTTTTTCTCTTGTGGAAAACAGTACTTCTGACTTCCATGCTCTGAGACTGGCCTCACTAGACAAAGAAAGGTGGGTACAAAGTTGTATTTCTGGTTCTATCTTTCTTTTCTGAAGGAAGTGAGATTTGATAGCAGAATTCTGCCATTATTCTAAACCTGTATGTATTTAATTAAATAATTATTTTCTTCTTTACCATACTATGTCATTGAGAGCCACAGTCATGAATATAGTAGTGGGAAGAATCTAGAGTGACAAAAGACCCTGTGGGGGTTGTGTCTGTAGTAGCAGGACAGATTAATTCTTTCCCTGAGCTGAAGACTCATGCCACTGAATAATCACTGTGTGGAGATCACATTTATGTCTCAGGTCAGGACCATGGCATCCTTGTAATCTCTGACTGTAGTGTTGCTGCCTAGGAAGATAGTCATTCCCATGCATTCTATAGAGATACAAATGATGTAACTTTTTTAGAGTGGGCTTGGGACCTGGGGCCATGCAGTTTCCTCAGAGAAGTCACCCACTCATAGTATATTGTAGGCTCTTTAAAGTTCACCAGGGCATGGTCCTGACCTGTGCAGAATGACCATTGTCATCATTGAGATAACAATGTATACAAAGTGGACAGCATCTTGTCTCTGATGCCAGATTACTCCAGGGTGACCCATGACTTGTTCTTGTGAATATCTCCTTAGCACCAGCATAGGAATCCACTTCCCAGCCATTGTGTGGTCCACATTATCACTTGAAATTTTTTCTGATAGCTTTTATTGATTCTTTCCCAGACACTTCTTAGACTTCAAAATTGTGCAAGTCACACTCCTCATGTACACTTCCATAAATGTCAAAGAGGGTAGGCTTACCACCTGTACGTCTCTGGTACCAATGAAACTTCACTGTAACTTAAAAGACATTTTCCTTTCATTAAATAATTTATGAGGAAAGAAGGATGAACCAACCCAATATTCATAATCTTGGATTTTGAGAAGTTTCATCTAGATAATTTCTCATTCTTACAAGACTTTACTTTCTTGGCCAACAAACTGAAGGTTACCATCAAGTAAAATCACTAGATAGAAGTGGATATGGTTTTCATAAAAGAAAAGGTGTATAGATGTAGCAGGAAACCCCACTATATGTTAAATGTCATGCTTGAAAGCCTATAGGTAGCACAATACTGGCAGGAGAAACACCAAAAATGTTAGTAAGATCATAAACCATATAAAAAGTGCTTCTCTCCCCACTTATTCAACATTGTACTGGAAGTTTGGCTGAAACAATTACCCAGAAAGATAAAATAAAGACAGCAAAATGTGAAAGTGAAAAAGAAAATGATCTATTTTAACAGACAACATAAGGTTACATGTAGAAAACATTAAAGATTTTATCCCCCACCCTCAAAACATGTTAAAATTAGTCAATTCAGTGCAGTTAGAGGAGAAAAAGAGCCTCATTTCATTTCTATGCATCAACAATAAATATCTCAAAAATGAATTAAGGAAACAGTTCCATTTATAATACCATTACAAAGACTAGAATACTTTGGAATAAGCTTTACAAAGGAAATGGAAGATGTATACACTGGAAGCTACAAAAGAATGGAGTACTATGCAGTAGAAACAAGGAGCACCTACCCTTAATGACATCATGGATGGAACTGGAGAGCATTATAATAAGTGAAATAAGTTAGCCCATGAATGACAAATACCATATATTGTTACCTATAAGTGGAAGCCAATCAGCAAAACAACCAAGGGAGCATTATATAACTAGAGATGCTGAAATAAAGAGCAAACAGACAGTAACCAGAGGGTAGGTGAGAGGGGAATGATGGGAGATAAAATAGGAAAGGTCATCAAGGTACATGAATGAAGGGCATATGGACAAAGACAAAGAGGTATAGCTTTGAGGGAGGAAGAGCAGGTATGTGAGGATTGGGTGTAGTGGTGACAGGAAAATGGAAACAACAGTACCTGAACAATAATTAAAACAAGATGAGACAATGTTTAAAAATAACATGTCAGTAATTAAAATAATTTTAAACAAACTGGGCCCCATTAAAATAAAAAAAATAAAAGTAAAAGTCTTCATAAAATATTCACAGAATGTTTTAATACATCATGGTTTTACAGGTCCTCACCTAAGTTACACTTGTATGTCCCACATAAATAGAGATACAGGGACAGCGGGATGATTAAATTTTAGGAGATGGGCATAGGCCCTTTTGATAGATACTGTCTAAATCATAACTCTAACAAGATACTTTTAAGGAGACTCGTATGTATTCCAAATGGTCAAAAAAAATGTAATTAACAATTGCAATTCCGTTGCTAAAGAATTCTCTAAAATTTGGAGGTCAGAGGCCTGAAATCAGGAAGAACCTGTCTGAAGGTTAACAATTCTGAGGGAACCTTGAGACCTCTGGGTCATAACCCAACTGCTTTATGCACAGTGCAGGGAAACACAAATACATCTCTTGTAGCCAAGAAATAATTTGCATTTGTATCAGTTCCTGCAATTTATAAAGAGGTTCAAAATAACTTGCATTCCCTTACCAGAGCTAAAACTTGATCTCCCAAAAGGCTCTGCTTCTAGAGAATTACATTCAGGCATTAAATTTACCTCTGCAGTCACTTTCCCATTCACCAAAATTAATCACTAAGGGAAAAGTGTGTTCCTGACCCTACAACATGGCTGGTGTCACCTGATTTAGCCTGATTAGTTAGTTACCTAAATCCAGAGGAACTGACATTCACCCCATAGTTTTCTCTGATGAGGGATTTCCATGAAAAATATGATGGGAATTTTAACATCCTCTTGAAGTTAGGAAGCTTTACCCAAACACTTCACCTCCAGTTCGCTCACTTTGGGTGATGTCTTTTCTGCAAGAGTTACCAAAAGTCTGAAGATGTCAATCTTAGCTTTATAAAGTATGAGGTCATTTCCAATTCTATGGGCATCAGTCTGAAATAGCACATTTGAACAAAGCCTTGGTTTTATTACCAAAGGTTTGAAATATACCTCATTAACAAACAGAACAGAAATGTACTGAACTCATGCAAATAATTTTATCATCATAGAAGGAAGAATACTCAATAGACTTCAGAAATCTTTTCAGAGACAATAAAGAGAAACAAAAAATCAGTGTTGCCACTCACATTGTTGTCTTCTTGTCCATTCCCATTGTCTACAACAGGTCCCCTCCACATGTGTTCAGGGACAGACACAGAGCTCATATTCTCTAAGCTCCTTACCTTTCCTCATTTGTTATCAAGCAACTACTGCTCATCACCTGAGCAACACAGTGTCACAATGACCCCTCCAGTGTGGATATGGTACACATGAAACCAAACCAAGGTGCAGAGTGGTCTGAAATGTTATCTTATGTCAACAAAAATTACCACATCAGTGTATATGTTTCTACTGTTTACTGAATCAATGCAAATCTTTAAGAACTATTCACCCCCAGAATGAATCAATTATGATATTGCAAAAAAAAAAAACCCTGCTTTATTTGGAGTTTAACAACATAGAGGGGGGAAAAAGAGTCACCAAACTTTCACATTCAGCCGAAGCGGAGCACTTGTGCCAGAACTTCTGGGGTTAGAGGCTTTACAGCGGTAAACACCAGCATCCCATCTCAGGACAGGGTATATGGTGAGGGTTCTCATGTCAAGTGACATCTTCCTTCTCTCTGTGAGCGGCAGACTTACACCATTGAAAAGCCACTCGATGTCATCACTGTTTGTGTTGCAGGTCAGGACCACAGGGTCCATATTCTCTATGACTGTGTTTTGGCTGGCGTGGAGGGTGGGCACACTCACAGGCACTGTGGAGAAGCAGAGAAAGTGACTCATTGAGAATGGTGTCCAGACATGCAGCCACATAGCTTCCTCAGTGATTTCAGCTTCTCACAGGCCACAGTGACTTAGGTAAAGCTCACAAGAGTGTGGTCCAGGCATTTGAGGACAATTGTCTAAGTTCAGGTGACAATATTAAGGAAAGAGCTGCAACCACTCTCTGTCCCCAAATTACCTCAGGAAAAATATACCCAGAGACACTGAAATAAAAACAAACTGACAGTAACCAGAGGGGAAGGAAGAGGGGAAAAACAGGGGAACAAGAGGGAAAGGGTCATCAAGGAACATGCATAAAGGCCCCATGGACAAAGCCAAAGAGGGAAAGGATTATGGGTTGGAGTTGGGGGTGGGTGGGGTTGGGGAAAATGGTGGCAGGAAAATACAGACAGACATACACGAACATAAATAAAAATAATAATTAATTAACTTCAAAAGAGAAGAGGCCAGGATTTCAGTTGGGAAAATGCCATCTTTACGATGAATGGTGTTGAACCCCAATATCCACATGAAAATTAATGATGTATATCCCTGTCTGATACTACACAGAATTAAGTCAAAATTATATAAAAATTAATTTCATATTCATGTCAAAACTAACAAAAATTAACTCAAATTGTATCAAATTCTGAAAGTTAGACCTGACCCATTAAAATTCTTATAAAATGTATTAAGACAAGCATTATGACATTGAATTTGGCAATTTTATGAATGTGACCCTAAGAAGACAGGAAATAGACAATTTCAATATTCTCAAAATGAAAACATCTCTTCATCAAAAAAAGACATAACACGTTGAAAGGTGGCCCATAAAACCTGCGAAGATATTTTGCAAATCATATGAAAAATAAAAAGTTAATTTCTAGAATACACAAAAAATCACTACACTCAACAACCACAACAAAATCAAATACGCTGTTATAAAAATGGAACAATACACTTGAATAGACACTTCTCCAAAGAATATCTACAAATGTCCCATAGATACAACAGAAAATGCTCAAGATCATTATTATGTACACAAATGAAAATCAAAGCTCTCATGGTTGAATTTGTTGCTTGTGATGTTGGTTGTGGTTAACTCTCCTCTGCAGGAAAGAGAAAATAAATGCCCTGTGTGGTTCCTTTCATATCTCTAAAAGCGTCTTCAGTCGCAGTTGGTACCTCTCACTCTTAGTCAACTTGAGTCTTAGAACTAACAAGGAAGGTCAGCATATCACAAGAACATGTTTGGGAAACACAACACTCAGAGAATGCATGTCCTCCAGCTATATGTCTGGGGGAAACTGCAGATTTTCTCTGGTGTCCCTTCAGTATCAGTGTTGATTAAGGAAAGACATAAAACGGGTTCAGAGAGATGACTGCAATTCTCCTGGTTCTACACTGACCACCTGAGTGCCTGCATCACCAGAAGCCATTCCTTCCAGCTACATAGACATCTATTGCCCAAATGAGGCGTGTTTCTATGAAGCACTATTTTCCAGGACATCCTAGACACTGGGTGGGATTTGACCAGAAATAACACATAGAGACAAGAAGCAAGCCGGTGGTAAGGTATCTACTCAGGCCATAGGCTAAGAGCTAGGTCAGGTCTTTTCAGGTGAATGAGACTGAAGTGAACCAGGGAGCCAATGAATGATAGATCAGGGTCCACAAAATGATTTAGCAAAGAGGAAAAAAGACAGTAGAAGGTGATAATGGAAGCAGAATCATGTGCTCTGTCCTTGACCACAAAAGCCATTCTTTCCCTCCTGAGAGCGAGTGAGGACTTGTGCAAATGCAAAATCAGTGTCTTAGAGCAAGTGGTCAGCATAGACTTCCTGAAATTCTGGCACTTGCGGGCAATTTGTGTTCAGTGGCTATGAGACAAAAATTGGAAAAAAAAACTTAAAATTCTTCTGTATATGAAAATTATTATTAATACCCCAGGCCCAAAGTCAAACACCAAGTGCTGTTTTAGTGGAGAGAAGGAAAGGATCTGAGATGATGCTCTTAGTTCCTGGGTCCAGGAACCCCATTCCCTATGGTGAGCATTCCAAGGAATCTGAATCCAGGTTCCAGGCTCTGAAGAGATTTTGTATCATTCATTCATTTGTTCATACAATCACTGTTTATTTCCTCCTAATTCATCAAAGCCAAATGAATGCTTGTTAAAAATTTTTCCAGAGCTTGTTTCAGGGGAAGAGTGGACAATAAGAAAGAAAAGTCATTTCCTTTACATCTGCTGGGAGAGACTGCACCAGAACAGGAAACAAATAAGTGATGTCAAGTCCAGTGCAGGGAGGTGTGGATGGGCCAGTTGAGGGGGATGCCTGGGTAATCTATGCAGTGACTCTGATTGTTACTGAATATACTGTTTTTTCTAGAGTAAAAATAGATTGACTCCATTTTTTTGCCCCTTCACAGACCACATTGTATTCCTATGACTGATGACACCTAACAGAAAAGGATCTGAACCACTTTGTTGGTTTAGGAATCCTAAGACTTCCTCATAAGGCCCCAGAGGTATTGAAATTAAGTCTGTGTCTACATACAGAACTCTACTTGCCCTGATCACCTGTTCAAGGTCTGTGTGACTCCCCTTTAGTGACAGTATCCCCCTTTTTCTCAGTTTCATTTCAATGAATATCTGGCTGCAAGGATGTCAGTGTAATGACTGCAAAATATTTAGAGGATGCGACCTAAATCTTGAATCGAAGAGCCTCTCAAAAGAAGCATCTGGTATTGATGTACTCCCAGGGAGAATGACTAGCAGATCCCTGGTGAATGAGGACCTTCTGGGAGCATCTTTTTTCTCAGTTTCTTTTAATGGACCTTCTTCTGAACTTTCCCGAGACTGCCAAGATAGCCAGCTCTCTACAAGGACACTGTCTCCCTCTGCTCTTCACTCAAAACTCAGTTGATGATAGACAAAACTCCATTTCTGGCGAGATGCAGGACTTAGTCAGGAGCCCCGACTGGTGACCTCCTCAGGAGCCTTGTAGCTTGGGGACCCATTAAACTGTTACACACTCAGCCCTTATGAGGAGGCCAAACTCAACCTAGCACAGGCTCACCAGGGGCCTGGCAGTAAAGATTAAGGGACAGGATTCTCAGGAGGATTTGTTGAGCTTAGCTGTGTAAGAATTTCAGGGGACCTCTCAGACTGTGCTCTGACAAAGTAAAAGAGTCATTCTCAAGGTCAAGTGAATAGGCAGGTGCTCAGGAAGCTAAAATGAAACTGGTCTCCCTTTGCTAACTTAGTCCTATGAACCTGATTCTTCTGTCTTCATTGACAGTCTGCAAGGCTGAAATACGAGAAGGGAACTGAGGCCTTAGAAAATTTGTCTGCATTCTCTCTGTATGCTGAATGAAGTACTAAAATTCACCCTGAAACACAGTGTCAAGAGGAATGGAGGTAGTGTCTAGGGTACATCAGTTTTGTTTGTGAAGATGAACTCACCCCACCTGACACCAAGAGGTCAGAGAGGAATCACTCACGGTAAACAGTAAGCTGTCCATGTTCTATTATTTTTCGGCAGTGCTGTAGTAGGACCATTAAGGTGTAGGTTCCTGAGTCTTCCATGGTGACATTCTTTAACAACAAGGACCCATCATCCTCTACTCTCGCTTGTCCACCTGGAGGACCTCTTATAAGGCTTCCTGTCTTTACTACAAGATATGCAATATTACTATTGTTGTCAATGGTTGTTCCCCTGAACCACAGGAAGTATTCTGCATTGGGAGGCCTCTGGTGGATATGCAGAATCACATCCGTCCCCTCGAGAGCATTGTTCGACTCAACTTCCAATTGTGCTGTGGTGGGGTGGCTCCAGAAGTTGAAAAGTGAAACTAAGAAATAAAAAAAAAAATGCATCATTATTACTATCTATGTTTTGGGATGGAAAGATGGGGCCCTGAATCCTGAGCAGGTCTCTTCATGTCTCAGCCTTGGTGTGCATGTCAGTTTGTTTCTCTCAGGGCAAGGTCAGAGACAAGGCATGTGTACTTCAGAACCTCTGAAGCTTTTATTAGTTTGGTTTCAAATACATTTCTCCAGCTGTTTCTCTTGCTTTCCCCCTCACTGTGCTCTGACCTCTCCTGATACTCACAGGCATTTTTGACAGGAATCTTAGCTGACCATCTTATCTAAAGATTCTCTGCCTTCACTTTCTTACCTGCCCATCCTCTCTTTTTTCATGGCTATTGTGAGTACCTGACATCATATCTACATCCTTCCTTGTCCCTCTCTCCTACATAGAACATGGGCTCCATGAGAACAGGGCTTGTGTCATCTTCTACCTCCAGTGACTGCAACAGCCTGGAAATACATGGGGTTGAGTGAATGTGTGATCCCAGTGGCCTGTACATCCTGGAATCTATTGGCCTATTGCAAAGTGTTATGATAAAGACAATGTCTAACACTCCTTGTAAAATTATTCTGGTGCTTCCTGATAAATCAGCGTATCAACATGACAAACAACAGCAAATGCACAGCAAATGAGGGCTTTCTGCCTCTCACCATTTCCTGATTATGAGATTCTCCTCTAGCTGAGACCCCTTCCTCATCTTACTCTGCTCATTTCTCATTTAGCTTCAGTTTCATTCAGAAGACTCCCTCTTTTCCCAGAACACTGCTGTCTTCAGCAGATCCCAGCCAGTCTCTGTGTCAGATCCTTAATCAGCCCCAAGGAATTGTGTCCTACTTACCAACCAGCAGGAGCCCTTGCCAGTGGACAATTGCTCTGTGGGTAGGGAATGACAGGGACCTCATGGTGTATATTGTCTCTTCTGTGGCTGCCTTTTTGATAGAAACTTGAGGTTGTGAAAGGCTAACAGGCACCTCTGTCCAGAATGGTGCAATATGCTGTGTGTCCTACCTGTGTACTGAGCTTTATTCTGGGGCATGTTTACTATTCTTGTCATGTGGGCTGGGGGCGGAGTCTGTGCACATTACCCTCCCTCTCCCAGCACTCCTTTTTGCCACCCTTGTACCTTGTAACCAGTACTACACCATTGTATTTTTGTTCCCTGAGAACTTCTAAGGTCTCTCAATACCACACATACACAAACACAGACTCCCAAATTGTATTATGAAAAGCAAAAGCCTGGGGTGTCTGGCTTTCAGGCATTTCCCACAGCTCCCTGTGTGGTATACAATAGCCTCCCCCACATACCTCTTTCTTTCACATTTGACTTTTCCCCTCAGAACAGGGTTTCTAGAGCTAACTCTGAAAAAGCTGTCAAAATGATGTCACCCATTCTGTTCAGTAGATCCTCTTTGAAACTTTGTCAACATCTCTTATTCCAGGAGAAATTGTGATTGCTTGATATGAAGTTAGAACCACTTCTCTTGCTGTCCTGTACAAAGGGAACATCTTCATATCCTGTTATACTACAGATTCTGAGGTGCAGTGGGTCAATGACTCTGAATCTGACAAGCTATGAGGAGAGGTTGATCCAACTGACCTGTAGGGTACACTTGCAATAGCAATGCTGTTGGGGTTACATGTGTCCCTGAGAGTATGATACACTAAGGCCAACACTGACCACTGCTGAGACTTCGTCTTGGGACTGTCAACACCACTCAAAGAGTCGCAGATGTCCTACAAACCTGGATTATTTCTGTTTGTGACACAGAAACCCAGATGGGCACTGGGTCCTCTCCATGTTCTCTAATGCTCTGAGGTGTTTTTTTCCTCTGTGCAAGAAGATCTCAGACATGACTCTGGGCATGAGTATGTGTCATACTCGTTGATAATTGCAGAGGGGACTATTCTTTTTTTTTAATATTTTATCCATTTATTTTAAGAGAGGGAAGGGATGGAGAAAGAGAGAGAGAGAGAGAGAGAGAGAGAGAGAGAGAGAGAGAGAGAGAGAGAGAGAGAGAGAGACATCAATGTGCGGTTGCTGGGGGCCGTGGCCTGCAACCCAGGTATGTGGCCTGATTGGGAATCAAACCGGCGACACTTTGGTTTGCAACCCGAGCTCAATCCACTGAGCTACGCTGCCAGGGGTGACTATTCTTTTTTCTCATGTTGTCAGGAGTCTGGCTTTTGCTTCCCAGGACAAATACCAAAAACCAGGAGCCTCAGAAGGACCTGCAGTTTTGTGGTGTGAAGTGGGACATGTCCTGCATGTCTCAGGAAGAAAGGACTGTAGGGAAAGTCAGTGTCTATGGGCCTTCTATTTTCTAGGGGACAGCTTCATGTAGACCACCCCTACCCATGTATGTTTCTTGGATTTGTGCTTGTGCTGCCTGGCTGCTGGGAAAACCTGTGATTTCTACTTGGGTGGCTTAGTTGTTATCTCCTCCATTTTCATGGATGATACCATTCATGAGGTACAGAGCAGCACAGAACTCCATGAGGGAGGAGGTGCTCCAAGGCCCTGTCAAACTATAAAAACGTTCAAACCTATAGATCAATTTAATGAGTTTATCTGAGCCAAACTGACATAATATATGTGGGAGTGAGGTCTCAAATCCTATGAAGGCAGTTTTGTAGCATATCTTACACATTTTATTCAAACAAGATCCAAACAAATTTGCATAAAGCCTCTTAGAAAGTGAGAGAAAACATAGCATGGAAATCTCTAGAATTGGTTAACTGGCCAAATGGAGATATATGTATATGTTTTGTATGTTGTGGGTACAGGCTAATTCACATTTACAGGACACAGACAAGGTGTGCAAGGGACCAAATAACATAAAGAGTCTATGGTCTCACACGCTTGTCCCAGACTCTGTGCTTTTGAAGGGCCCAGAAAAAAAAAATCCCTCAGATGTGTCAAAGTTACGCTATCCAAGAGGAAAAGAAAAAAGAGGATGTCAGTTCTCACTGAAGGTAAAGACTGACCTTTGCTAAGGAAAATGAAGGTCTGGCATGTAACAACCTGCCATCACCTGCCTAGTTAGAAAGTTCAGATCAGATTATAATGTGATGATTGCCAGGCCTACCATGTGTCCCCCAGGGATTGTGAGGGATGCTACACAGCCTCCTTTTGGTAATGGTCTCTAGAAGTAGCAGGTGGGACAGAGCAGTCAAGATAGAAGGCAAAAGAAATGCTTATTGAAGCAGGGGATGAAAATCAGCCTCTTCCATCTTCTTAGCCAAAGGCATGTTCCTGTGTCTATTTCATGTGTGTCTCAATGTTAGTCCCCAGAGGACAGAGGAAGACTTGCAGCCAATGTCAGGTGATGCATAGGTTGTTGACGAGTGTAGGGTGAGCCCTGTGAAAAGGCAGTCATTGTCCCGAATATTACACATTCAGTGGCGGGGTAACTGCCCCTCCAGGGAGATATAATGTTTCAGATAGAGCTCTGTGCTTTCAAGTGTTCAAAGGAAGGGCCTAGTGAAGACTCTTCTGAGGCTTTTGGATGAGGGTGCTGGTCTTGAAGGCTGATCCCTAAAATGCCCTGTGTGTCCACCGTCACTACTTTGGGATGTTGCATATAAGTAATGCCTGTGTCCCTCTCTGCCCCCAAGGCCCAAGAGCTGGAGAATCTCCAGGTGAATACTCAACCAGGCTCCCTGTGCATTCTGTTAAGGGAAGAAAGGTTCTTATAGAAAACTCAGCCCCTCTGCGATGGAAGCAGCCATAAATTCTGGGTTCTCATCTTCCTTTTGGCACAGGAAGTTGCCCTTGTTACCCAGAGCATCATGACCCAGACAGATGGCTGCAGAAACCACACACAGGATTTCCCCAGACCATGATCTCTGTGAAGGAAAACTCACTCCTTATTCTTCTTAGTCCGGGATAAGACTGAAACTGAAAGCTAAGTTCTAGTACATCTAGTCATTAATTAAACTTACTGAGTACCTAATTTATTAAGAAACATCCCTCTGATGGCTAGTGATGCTGAGTATTCTTTCATATGTTTCTGGGACCCTCTTTATGTCCTCCTTGGAGAAGTAGCTGTTCAGATCCTTTGCCCACTTTTTTATTGTGTCTCTTATCCTCCTGGAGTGTAGTCCTGTGAGCTCTTTTTATATTCTGGAGAAAAATCTGTATCCGAGATGTCATTGGCGAATATGTTTTCCCATACAGTTGGTTCCGTTTTCATTTTGCTAATGTTTTCTATAGCCATGCAGAAGCTTTTTATATTGATAAGATACAATTTGTTTATTCTTTCCTTTATGTCCCATACTCGAGGGGACATATCAGTGAATACATTGCTGTTTGGAGTTTAAGAGATTTTGCTGTTTTGTTCTCCTCTATGACTCTTATGGTATGACATATATTGAAGTCTCTTATCCATCTTCAGTTTACTCAAAAAAACTGTGGTACATTAAATCAATAGAATACTATGTAGGAGAAAGAGAGATTCCCTTCACAAGTAGTGGATGGAATGCTAAGTGAAACAAGCCAGTGTGTGAAAGACAAATACCATATGATCTCACCTATAAGGGGAACCTAATCAACAAAACAAACATGCAACCAAAATATCACTGGAGACTTTGGAATAAAGAACACACTGACAGTAACCAGAGGGGAGGGACCAGAAAGGTAATGTAGGAGTGGGACTGGGAAAGAAGTGAAACGGTCTTCAAGGAACATAAATAAAGGACCATGGACAAAGCCAAAGGGGACAGGATTGAGGGTGGAAGGAGGGTGACAGTGGAGTGAGGGGAAGTGGTGGTGGCAAAATGGAGACAACTGTATTTGAAAAAATAAAAAAAAATGATAAGTAATAAATAAAATATTACCAAACCAGTTAAAATATTGATATTGTTTTTTCAACCTAAGTCTATGAAATGTGGACTTGTTATTACAGAAAATTTTAAAGACACTTTTGAATTTGTTAATAAAAGTGTTTTATTCTATGTTGTTCTCAGCTTCCCTCTCCTTGGGAACTTAATTACTGGGAAATAACTGAACACATGTGTTATGATCTTATCCAAGACCCTTGAGGTAAATTAGAAGTCCTGTGACCCGGATTCATGTGTCAGATTAGTGTTTATGCTATCAGTACTTACTGTTTAATCTGATATTTTGTTGTATTTTTACATGTCCCTAATTTTACTTAGCATTTGCTGAAGTTCTTGCTACCTGAAAGACTATATTTCCATTTCAATTGTTGAGACACTGGCACCAGGAAGTCTCCCAGAGGGGGGCCAGGTCAGTTTCATTATCATTCAAATACCCCTACATTTAACTTAATTAAGATCCAAAATTGCCTACAGCAGGAATACTACAGAGAGGTCCTGATGTGACTACAACAACAATGGGTTCATAAGGGCCTCTGCAGTGATGGTTACTTTGTGGTATTGCTGTATTTTCCTAGTCAAAAATAAATTTTCTGTATGGATGTCCAGGAGGCATTTTGATTCTTTATTGCTTGTTCATTTGTAGATTCTATAACTGTGTGATGGATGCAAACTGTAATCCTACCAGACACTATGTGAGGCACTGGGGACTCAGCAGTGGATGAAAGAAACATACTGGACATGATTGCTGATGCCCAATTATTTTCTTGACAACTCATGTTTAAAAGGCACTTCAGGATTCCTCAAGATTTTTAATCCCAGCCAAATTTTTGATATCAATGTCCTCCTGCAGAATTTTTCCCAAACTCTTTGTATTTTCACAACTCTTCTCTTTTCTTGTAACACACATGGAATTCTTCATGTAATTATTTGATTCTAGATGATCAGAACTAATCCAGAAACTGACACTTTTTACATTCTGGCCCAACCATTCTCACTGGTCACCTACATAATGCACTTGTCTTCACACTGAACTCCCTGCTTGTAACACAACAGCTTCAAAAATCCTAGCTAATGTGAAAGCTAAATGATAGCAGTACTGTCCTTCCCACCTTCTAAATATTTTCTTAACTTGGCTAATCATCACAATAAAAGAGTCAGATTGGCAGAAAGGAATACAGTTTTTAATCTATGGTCATA